TTTCACCTCGCTTTTTCAGAACGATGAGCTTTGTAAAAATCGACACGTTTCAGAAAGGCGGGGCATAGAGTAGAAACAATAATGTACAGTATGTGGAAAATAATGTGTTTTTTTAACTTTAAACCGCATAAACACATTTCATTACACCAAATAATGTTCTTGTTATATGACCCCTTTAATGCGTGTATGAGTGCTCTTGATGCACTGATCGCACAGGCACAGACTTCTCGACATTTCCGTACATTCACGTTGTTTCCACACACATTCACGATAATATTTTGATTTCTCATGATTATGTTGCTGTGTTTAGTTATACTGAATGGACCAGTGTACTGTAGTAGATTTATGCAGTCAGCAGGCGACTGGTTTTTTTTTTCTTTCGCATTTCCATGTGGTCCTTCCTGTTCGTTATCGCAACTTGGCTTCTCTAAAATGTAAAAAAGCTCTTTGCTGTTGCACTGCACACATCATATACAATTAAGATTTTTTTCTTTCATATGTTGTTATAGGGGCTCCTTATCATTTGGTTCTTTGGTGTCCTTTTGGAGTTTCTACGTGTCCTTTTTTGGAAAGACATCTAAATTTATCTTGAAAAAAGCTTGCAGAAAATACCGATTTTAGCAAGGTTGTATTCAAAGTCTGCCAGCCTAGAGACAGTAGGGGAAAAAAGCAAGACACACACACACACACACACATACACACAGAGTGAGTGAGAGAGAGAGAGAGAGAGAGAGAGAGATCAACCACTAAACCACTAAACCAACACATGGTAATGTCAGATTATTTTGGGTGGGAGAGAGGGAAAACAATAGTCCATAAGTGGATCGAGAGCCCCATCAGCTCAGAGGCATCACAGGCACGCGCATCATCTGTCTATTCCGCCACTCACTCACCGCGCGATATGTGAAGGTGTAACGCTCATATGTGTGATTTGTCCATGTAACGAGACCCGAAATATCTGGACGAAATGCTTTCAATAAGGTGGATTGTTGGAGATTTTGTATGGAGGCAGCGGGACACCTCCCCATAGTTCGGCGTAGAGTCTCTCTGAAGAGTGCGCGAGAGACCGACACCAGAGTTGCCGCGGCACGGATTGAGGACCATCTGCTGATTTTCCCCAACAATCTGTGTTTTAGAGGGATAACCGATTCTCAAACGCTTCAGTTTCTGGCAATGAGAGCTTTT